AGTCGGGCCGAGTCGCCCTGAACCGAACTGACCCCCCTCCTTGTGACCGGGGCTTCTTGGGCCGGAATTTCCAACAGGAAAGGATCTCAGCCCCCACCGCGCCCTGCCACACACACAGTGACGCCCCTCGAGCTCCACAGAACCGATGGGATGTAGAGGGGAAAGCCGAAGTGGAAAGGACTTTTCAGTCCCGGGCCATTGGGTTCGTTAGGCGTTTGCTGGGGAATGCAGGCGAACGGGACTCCCAGGTCCCTGCCTTTGTGGAGCTTATGTTCCAGAGGGGAAGGCAGACAAGGAAAAACAAAAGGACATGAGGCGGTCACAGGGCTGTGCTTCAAAAGAAGCAAAAGGTGACCGCTGGGCTGCAAGGGCGTGAGGAAGTGCTGTTTTTGCTAACACTGGACGATGGGAAGCGAGCCGGGAAAAGACTGGAGGAGCCACTCCAGGCAGGAGCAGCACTTGCAAAGGTGGAAGGGCCGTGAGGGGCCGAGAGAAAGGGGAGCAACCCAGTCTGGCCTGGACTCAGTTCCCTCTTGAAAAGCAAAGATCCTGCGTGTCCGTTTCAGTGGCCATCAGGAGGATTCAGTGACGCACAGGAAGCGCGGTCCACTCGCTCTTGTAACAAGTGCCCGGGAGCAAAGGCGTCTACGGCCCCCACTCCCCGTGCCGCCTCCCAGTCTCTTTCCCTGCTTCACTTTCCTGTAGTGCTTTCTGCACACCTGTATTCGACGCGGCGCGCACTCGCAGGCACTAGCGAGGCGCCGATCTCCACTTGACAGAGGAGGCACCCTTGCCCCCTCCACACCCAGGGCTCCTCGCGGGCTTCTGCCCGAGGGGCCTGCTCCTCCCTCATGACCCGCCTGTGAATCCTTCCTAACCGTTAGGTCCTAGCGCATGGCAGCGTCTTTCCACCACCATCGTCTTGGCACTGAGCAAGCAAACGGCCCCGCCCCGCCCCACGTTCACAGGAACAACAAACAAACGTCACATCCGCGGTGCTGCTGTAATCCCAGCACCTTGGGAGCCCGGCGGGCGGGGGCTGCAGTGAGCTGAGATCGCGCCACTGCCTGGGCGACAGTGCTGAAAATAAGTCACAGCGACGCCCATCGCTTCCGCGACCCCGCGGTTCCCCACCCTCGGCCCTAAGCCGGAAATCCGCGAGCCCGACGCGGAAGCGGCTGGGCCATCTAGGGGCGTGGTGGGCGCGGAGGCGGGGCCATCGCTAGTCGGGCCGAGTCGCCCTGAACCGAACTGACCCCCCTCCTTGTGACCGGGGCTTCTTGGGCCGGAATTTCCAACAGGAAAGGATCTCAGCCCCC